CTCTCTCTCTCTCTCTCTCTCTCTCTCTCTCTCTCTCTCTCTCTCTCTCTCTCTCTCTCTCTCTCTCTCTCTCCCCTGTTTTATTTCTTTTTCTTTTTTCTTGTAAGAATGTCGTTAGTTTTTTTTTGTTGCTATTTTTTTTTCTTTTTATGTTTTTAGCAAGGAAGAAAATGAGGCTACGGCAGAAAACCGAATGAAAATTTCTTTCTTTCAGTTATAGCCCCTTATTTTCCTTATCATACTTCCCCCCCCCCCCTCTCCTATCATCACATTTCTGCGATGAATTAAAGAGTCTGATGCTAGCCTGAAATGCACCCGCGGTGAGAGTGATGTGGTGAGTTGGAGCAGCATACAAAGTGCACCAACCGCCCCCACAATGCCCATTACCGCGGACCCTGTTTCCCAGGTCAAACTTGGGCATACTCACCCACCCACACTAGAGCTTTTTCGACCGCAGATTGTTTGTTTTGGGCTGTTGATCTTGACCATCCTTGGAAGCAAAAAAAAGAAATAAAATTATAAAACCGAATAATAAATTTGAATAATGCACGTGGAGCCTTACCTCTCAGCTGGTTGTCATCATTGTTCTGGCCAAATACACTTACGGGCTACAGTCTGGAAAGGCCTTTGGTCTTGCCCCGGACGCAAGGCTTGGTGATCATGTTTGTATATCACTTGAAAATTGGAATGGGTTCCTTATTATGTCTGCATATCACTTGAAAATTGGATCAAGTTCCACAAATGCTCAGTTATTATGTGTTTATATCAAATTATATGGCCTGGCCACATACACTTCGTAGTATACTCTGGAAAGTCGTACGGTCTTTACCCGAATGCGAGGCTTGGTTATTATGTCTGTATATCACCTGAAAATTGGACTAAGAAGTTGCACTTACTAGTAAGTAGAGCTATATGACTGGCTCCTGAAAACTGCACAAAGTTCCACTAGTGCAAGGAACCTGTTCCGTTCGTCACTTGCTGGAGTGTACCAGATAGCATGCATGTAACACAGATCACACAGAATGCAATGTCTCACACGAAATTCAATGGAAGATGAGTGGAAACCAGGAAGCGCAACTCAATTATCATAACCAGATTAAAGAAAGAGAATCACGAGTGCAAAATTAAAGAAAGAGAATCACGAGTGCAAAATGTATAGCGCCCAACAGAATTACAAGTCTTCTTCATCCAACAAGAGTACCAGGCCTGGCGCTCATCAGCGCCAGCAGCCAATCATCAAGTACGGTGCTCCACAGGTAAGTCTCACCATAGCTCACTTCTCTCTCTCTCTCTCTCTCTCTCTCTCTCTCTCTCTCTCTCTCTCTCTCTCTCTCTCTCT